TCATTTTTCAGTTAATTATTTAACACAGGTTGGAAAAGACAAAGAAACTTGAAGTGTTTTGAATCACTGCCAAGTATAAATCAATCATAAATCAAAAGAAAGGCCCTTTGAAATTACAGTGTTAGTCAACATGTAAATATTTACCTTCAATTTTTCAGGGATTTATCTCTTAAGTAAAACAAGATATGCTGGTACAAAATGATCCCTACTGACGGAACTCTGACTCAAAACTGAACTCTGGTACAAAATGATCCCTACTGACTGAACAGGACTTACTGGACTGCTGGATAAAGGCTGAAAGAGTTTACAACTATCAAATTTGGCTACACTTTATATTAACCACAAATGACAGCATAGGTTAAAGAACATAAAGTGGAATCACCGCTAGCCTAGAATACTTGCTTTTTATATAGCAATGCTTAATATTCATCTATCAGATGTATTCCCTAACTTCACAAATTAAGAATAAATTCAGCAGTCAACAAAGTCTCATGACTGTAACGGTTAAGAAAACGATAAAAAGCTAAAAGCACTACATGACTGGTTAACAAGAGCTAAACAGAAAGAGATATCTGCTCATTACTGACCAAATGGCCATTAAAGCCAAAGCATGAAAACAAACAAACAAACAAACAAAAATCCATAGGAAAATGATAAAAGCCAAAAGAGAAAAGAGCAAACTGACTGAAAAAAAAGAAGTAGAAGATTAAACAGAGAATAGAGACAGAAAGAAAATGGCAGATAGCCACAGGGCAATTGATTAAAGTCAGTAAGTGACGACAGAGAATGGACAAGACCAGAATAAGGAGAAAAATGAAGTACTAATCAGAACAGTGAATCTCTGAGGGGGAATATATCATCATAAATACCTATCAGCTACTTGAGTCCTCTTTCTTATTAAGTGTTATAATAAAGGTGGTCATTGTAATGGGCATGTGTCACTCACATAGAGTGAAACTGCTCACTGTGCTTTATTTACGGGAGGGAGTATATAGTACAATTTGAAATCATTTCATTCAAAAACCATCTATCTAATTTATTTATTATTGTGTATATTTAAAGTATACAAAAATGTAAAACATGATGTTCTGATATGTATGTACATGCAGATGACATACATATGCATGTAAAATGATAACGATCATCGGGTATAATAACGTATCCATCACTCACATGGTTGCTTTTTTTAGTACTAAAAGCACCTATATTAAATAGGTATACTAAAGGCATCTATATTAAATACTTAAAGCACCTATATTAAACCAGGCATCCCCAAACTTTTTACACAGGGGGCAAGTTCACTGTCCCTCAGACCGTTGGAGGGCCGCCACATACTGTGCTCCTCTCACTGACCACCAATGAAAGAGGCGCCCCTTCCTGAAGTGCGGCAGGGGGCCGGATAAATGGCCTCAGGGGGCCGCATGTGGCCCATAGGCCATAGTTTGGGGATGCCTGTTAAACAATGGAATATTATTCAGCCTTTAAAAGGAAAAGATAGTTATGTTTCACAACATGGATAAACCTGGAGGATATTACAATAAGGGAACTAAGCCAGACACAGAAAGAAAAATACTACATGAGCTCACTTACAAGCACAATCTAAATTTAAAAAAAAAAAAACAACTTGTAATTTAAAATTTTTGTTTTATGAATAAATGGACAAATTTACTTTAAGAATTACATGGAAAAAAAAAAGCTGTCTCCTTAAAAGTATTTTATTCCTTAGCAATTCCGTTAAGTGAAATAATGTTACACAAAAAAGACAATAACAGCAATGTAGGTTTAGCTCCTAGCACAGGAGGTCTGTGTATGCTCTTTGCTAAGTGCCAACCTCACAATTCCACTTCCCTAGTAGACAATACACTTCCCAGGACTCTCTCCAGCAACAGCATCAAGTAGTAACTTTGGTCTCCACAACGGAGCAACATAGAGGAGTAACATGAACATGGAAGAGACATGGTTCTTTATTGTATTTACCTTTAAATTTATATACATAAAAGAATCCCGTATGTGAAGAAACCTTTCAAGGATTAATCATCCCTTGCTAAGCTCTTTGATTTGTATACATATTATGGAATCCATGTATGCTAACTTTTAGAAATAAATATATATTCTATAATTTAAGATTCATTAGACACTTAAATGCCGTTTTGCTATTTGTAGCTTACCAACCTTCCCTCCTCAGCAATCAAAACCAGAAAATGTGATGCTGGCAGTATCATAAGTGTTCTTATCAGGAAAGAAGAGAGAAGGTTAAAAAGAAGGAAGAAAGGGAGGGAGGGAGGGAGGGAGGTGGGGAGAGAGAGAGAGAAAGAAAGGAAGGAAGGAAGGAAAGAAAAGAAAGAAAGGAAGGAGGGAGAAAGGGAGGGAGAGATGGAGGGAGAAAGGGAGGGAAGGAGGAAGGGAGGAAGGAAGGAAAATGGTGATGTAATGTGAAGTGATAGAAATATTCATTATCTTGATTTTGGAAATTATTTCATAATGTGAATATATATACATGTCAAAACATGAAATTATGTACCTTAATTGTATACATTTTTTACTTGTCAATTATAGCTCAATAAAAATGGAAAGGTATTGGAGGGAGTCTGTAGACTGCCAAACATGTTCTATGCAAAAGAACTATGTAACCTGAATGAAGTTGTGCAAAAGAAACAATAAACACACTCCGTGCCATAAATAGAGCACAGTGAACAGTCTATGTGTGAATGATACATGCCCATTATAATGACCACCTTTATTATATCACTTAATAAGAAAGGGGCCTCAAGTAGCTGATATGGTGTTTATGATGATACACACACACACACACACACACACACACACACATACACATACATATACATATATGTATATAAAAAAGCATATGTATATAAAAAAATGAAGTGTATATTTGGTAGATATTTTCTCATTAATTTAATCAAATCTACATTTGCAATTTTATAAGTTTCCAATCTACAATAATTACTTTATTCTGTAAACATACAGGATACATACACTTTAACAATATTAACATAAAACAAAATAATTCTCAATATTTAGAAAGCAAATTCTATGTCATGCTACTTGTAGTAAGTATGATTTGACCAGTGTCATATCTGCATCTGGATCACCATAAGCCATATCACGGCAAAGTTTGTCTTTTGAAAGTATGTGGGGAGAGGGAGAGGAGAAGAAAGGGAAGGAGAGAGAGAGAAGAAGAAGAAAATCAAACTTGGATAAATATTGAAGCTCAGATACTGAAGAAAAGGAGCTATGTCTCATTCTTCTTTTTATCTTCTTTATCAGCCAGCACAATGCTTAAATTCACTGACTGATAACTCAGAAAATGTGCCGAATAAATCAGTGAATGAAAAATTCCTAATATGAACTCATCTGTGATCATTGTATTACAGTATTTATCTTCAAAGTAGAGGCCTTTAAATTCTGTATTATTGATATATTAACAATTAGATTCGCTTCTATATAAATTAATTTTCATTTCTTATAACTATCTGATTGTAATACCATGAGAGAGGGAAGTAGCAAGTTAGATTTTGTTTTGGTTTTTTTACCTGCTTCATACTTTCTGTCCAGAGGCTCTAAACATTGAGTGATCACTCAAAAGTCACCAAAGTCAAAGTGACTCTGATATCCACAAAAGGTAAAATATACCTAACTAATATTCACCAAACTTTTGCGGATATCATCATTTGGGTCATCAGTACCCTTGATGACTACTGATATTTATATGTTGAGGTAACAAACATATAAAGATGGAAATCTACCAGTAATCTTTCTAAATACAGATCTGACTATCTCCATTCCTTCCATTCCTTTGCCTACTTATAACATTAAAACTCTTTTTCTTTCTTTTTTTGTCTTGTCTTTTCTTTTTTTTTTTTCTTTTTTTTTCTTTTCTTTTTTTTTTTTTTGAGACAAACTCTCACTCTGTTGCCCAAGCTGGAGTACAGTAGTGCAATCTCTGCTCACGGCAACCTCCACCTCCCGGGTTCAAACAATTCTTCCTGTCTCAGCCTCCCCAGTAGCTAGGACTATAGGCATCCACCACCACATCCAGGTAATTTTTGTATTTCTTAGCAGAGCTGAGGTTTCACTATGTTTGCCAGGCTGGTCTTGAACTCCTGACCTCATGATTTGCCCTCCTCAGCCTCCCTAAGTCCTAGGATTACAGGGATGAGGTACCGTGCCAGGTCTAATATTAAAACTCTTAACTCATTACACAGTATTCTCACTTTTCTCTCCAGGTTCTTAGGTGTAGAATCCTACCATTATTCATCTGTATAAGGTCACTCACTGCATAGCATACACCTTACCTTCTAGAAGATACTCAATAAACATTTATTGAATAAATTACTGTAAAATGAAGAAAATCTATGACAAATCAATGCATCATTACCTATAACTAGTGTAATGTCATGTCTATATCTAACCCCATTTTTAGTTTAAGTATTAGAATCTTAAAGCTACTTGACAGGCTTTGAGTTTAGGCATTTCCAAAATCAATGAATAAAGATAAATAAAAGGTCCTTATCATATGCACAGAAGGAAAAGTAGAAACCTAAGAGATAAGCTTACCTAAATCATAAAGGAAAAGATGAATAAAGAACTAATTTTTAAATAAACTTGAAAAGAAAACATAAGAAATTTTTAACTAAAAACTATAGAAATAATATTTAAAATAACCTATGTGTTCATTTGAAACCACAATAGATAAAAACATTGTCTAATTTTTATGTGTCAAGTTCACAGTCAGAATGCATAATCTGAGGACTCTAAGCTGTTTCTGCAACTATATTGAAACAGTTTAAATAGCAAAATATAATCTAGATTAGTGTTCAATAAAACAATTTTAAGATATATATCAGGATTGTCCGTATATAATTTTAGAAATTAATGTAAATCATCCTGAGTTCTAGATAATTAAACACATTTTAAATGTCTTTATGTGGAAACATTTTATAAACAAACTACAAGTAAATCATTTTAGAAAGTCATACCTGCAAAAGAGTTGTTCTGTGGAGCTTTAGTGCCCCTTTCTGGTGAATTTTAGCAAAGCATCCTGAACAATAATCTTCTCCACATTCAAGGCATACCTAAAAAGATATTTTTTAAAATATTATATAATCTTATAAAAAAAGTATGATTTTTATAAAGTGTTGCATAAAGATATCGTGTTTTTAATATTTATTTCTCTAATTAAATATCTATATCATTAGAATCGAGCAACCTGTCCCCCAAAAGGTAGGACAACTAGTTGTCCCAGTTAACTGTTAACTCTCTGAGGAAAACTAATTTGTTAATACTAATTGTTCTCATATCAAAATTAATGTAGTAGTTTTAACGTAGGTTTTAGGTGTTTATTTTAGATCCATGGATGTATGCATAGTTTTTGAATAAATCACAAAACAGCCAATAGCCTCAGGTCAAACTTCTTGACCTGGTAAAAACTAAACAGCATTATCTCTGGGTGAATACTCCTTCATTTTTATGACTTATTTTATTTTTTGTATCAATTTACATGACATAATTAGTTTCAAATGATATGCATACTATTTGTCTTCCAAAATCCCTGTACACTTTCCTGAAAAGTACTCCTTTACTGGTAGTTCTCAAAATGTGGTTCAAAATTTTTTCTTACAAGCATTTCCAAAGTAAAAAAAAAAAAAAAAAAAAAAAAAAATATATATATATATATATATATCTCATATATATATCTCATATATATATATCTCATATATATATCTCATATATATATATTATATATATATATATATATATATATATATATATGAGAAAAATACTGGCTGGAACTACATTACCATGTCTGCGATGTTAATAACTGATAAAATGATTATGGGCAAGTTTATATTTAACTTCCAAATTATGATGTTAAAATGTAATTTTAAAATTGATAGGCAAGTTAAATAATGTAAAATAATTGTACCTATGATGGTGCCAAGCAAAACTGAAAGTAAAAAGGAAATGGAAATTGGATGTCAGCTTCAAGATGTTTGATTAAATGCAGCTGGAGTTTGCCTTTCTAGACACAGGAGTCAAAGTATCAAGTAGATACTCACATTTCAAATAGATTGCCTGAGAGAGAACACTGGAATTCTGCAAAGAGATGATGGGAGACACCAAGGGTGAAAAAATGAGAAACAGGGCTTCCTGCATGGGGTCACTGGGACCTGGACCCTGGGAAGGAGTTAAGTGAAGGACTTCCCATGCTCCACATTCCTACCGTGGGCCTCTGTAATCCTAACTATGGAGAGATCTGGGAGCCCCATAGGCCTCCGGACTAGCCTAGGGAGGTGCTGGATAGCACACAGAGGAATTGCTAGAAGTTATGTGAAATCCCATAGGCTTCTGAGTGCTGAGCAGCTGCACCAAGGTGCCATTCTTGGAGCCCTCCCCCAAGTGTCTGAGTCCTGCCCAGAGGCCACTCTGCCGCTCTTCCTGCCTGCTGGGCCAGGGAGCAAGAGGGGAGTCTGGGTGTTCCCATGCTCTGCCACTACTGCTGCATGACCCAGGCACATTCAGATTATGCACCCCATGACTGTCAGTCTTTCCCAGAACTCTCTGCTGGCCTCTCCATTAGAGGACATTCTGCTGTTCCTGGTGACTGGCCCACACACAACCATCCCTGACCCACAAGTGTTCAGCTGGTGACCTGGAACTAATCCACCCCTCCTTATCACAGCCAGCTAGGGGGAACTATATAGCATCAAATGCCTACATGAAAAAGATGGAAAGATCTCAAGTTAACAACCTAACATTACATTCCAAGGAACTAGAAAAACAAGAACAAACCAAACCCAAAGCTGGCAGAAAAAGAGAAAGAACAAAGATCAGATAATAAATAAATGAAATTGAGACAGAAAAAAAAATGTTTAAAAAATCAACAAAGTGAAAAATTGGGCTTTCGAAAAAAATAAATGAAATTGATTGACCACTAGCTACATTAAGAAAAATGAGAGGATTCAAATATGCACAATCGGACATAATAAAGGTGACATTACAAGTGATAACACAGAAATACAAAAGATCATCAGAGACCACTATGAGCATCTCCACACATGACCTAGAAAACATATAGAAAATGGATAAATTCCTGGAAATGCACAGCCTCTCAAGATTGAAATCCTAAGAGACCAATATGAGTAGTAAAATTGTATCAGTAATAAAAATTCTCCCAAGAAAAACAATGAAAAGAAGCCCAACATCAACCAGATTCACGGCAAATTCTACAAGTCATGTAAAGAAAAATTGATACCAATACTACTGAAACTATTTCAGAAAAATCAAGGAGGAAATACTCCCTAGTATTCTAAGAAGCCAGTGTAACTCTGATACCAAAGCTAGACAAGGACACAACACAACTAGAGGCCAATACCACTAATAAACATAGATACAAATATTCTCAAAAAAAAAAAAATACTAAGGAATTGAATCCAACGATACATCAAAGAGATCTACTCTGTAATCAAGTGGGTTTTATCCAGAGGATGGAGGATGTTTCAACATATGCAAACCAATAAATGTGATTTACCACATAAACAGAATTAAAAACAAAATTATATGATATCTCATTAGCTGGAGAAAAAGCATCTGGTAACATTCAGCATCACTCCATGATAAAAACTCTCAACAAAGTAGGCACAGAAGAAACACTCCACAAAATAATAAAAGTCACAGACAACAAACCCCAGGCAACATCTTACTAAACTGGGAAATGTCTAAAACATTCCCCTAACAACTAGAAAAAGACAAGGATGCCTGCTTTTACTACTTCCATTCAACTTCAACGTAGTACTGGAATTCCCAGCCAGAACAATCAGGCAAAAGAAAGAAATAAAAGGCATTCATATTGGAAAAGAGGAAGTCAAATTATTTCGTTTGCTAATGATTTATCTTATACCTAGAAAACCCTAAAAACTTCTCTGAAAGACTCATCAATTGGCTGGCTAAAGAAAATATAAAATATATACCATGGAATACTACTCCACTGTGAAAAAGAATGATATCATGTCTTTTACAGCAACGTCAATGGAACTGGATGGAGGCCATTATCTAGGTGAAATAACTCATAAACAGGAAGTCAAATACTGCGTGTTCTTACTTATAACTTGGAGAGCTAAACAATGGGTGTTAGCTAAACACCCAGCTAAACAGACATTGTAGAAAAATAGACATTGGAGATGCCATACAATGGACGGGTGGGAAGCGGGTAAGGACTGAAAAATTACATCGTGGTTACAATGTTCCTATTCAGGTGATGGGCACTAAAAGCTCAGACTTCATCACTACGCAGTATAACCATGTAACAAAATTTCACTTCTACCAACTAAATCTATACTAATAATAATAAATGCTAATGGAACAATGAGATGATATGTTTTATCTCATTTAATCCTCACAACCACCCTATAAGTTTAGAATCATCATTGTATCTCCATAATGAAGAAGAGATAACAAAGGAATATAATGATGAATAATTTGTCCAGAGACATACAAGCTAATAGTAGTGGGGACAGGAATGCAATCCTACCATGTGACTCAAAGCTTACACTCTTAACCACAACACACATTACTAATCATTAAATTAATCATTTACAATCAACTACAATAGTAATCAGTTAGAGATACTCCTCAACTTACAGTGTGGTTACCGCCCAATAAACACATCATAAATTGAAAACATTGTAAGCTTAAAAGGTACTTAGTACAACTAACCTACTGAGCATCATAACTTAGCCAAGACTACCTTAAATGTGCTCAAAACATTACATTAGCCTGTATTTGGGCAAAATCATCTAACACAAAACGTATTTTATAATAAATTGTTGAATATCTTGTGTTTCTTTAACCTTCTTGATCACATGGCTGACTATGAGCTTCCTAGCATCGTATATTACCACGTATCAATAGCCTGAGAAAAATCAAAATTCAAACTTTGAAGTATGGTTTCTATTGTATATATATATTGCTTTTACACATAAAGTCAAAAAATTGTAAGTTGAAAATGGTAAGTCAGGTATCATTTGTATTGAAAAACCTTGATAAAATCACAATAAAATAAAATTCAGTATTTAAAATGAGTACATGATCTGGTATGTATCAAAATCCAAATATATATTTTTCACATGTGATTAGCTATAACAGGATGGACTTTTTTACTTTATCTGAAGAAAAACAAACACTATCCCTAGCATAAAAACTAGTCCTCTCTTTTATTCTTGTTTTATGAGCTTTATTCTTCTAGAGAAATGATAAAAACATTATCCTAAATCCATAATTTAAGTGTAATATCAACTTTAAAATTACAATTTTACAAATATACATGGTTATATCATTATATTAATATGGATTTTAAAACATTCTGCATAATTTTTATTTAATATAACTTGCTAATTTTAAGTGACTTTCTCATAAACATTTGGTACTGTTTTTACAGTATAATGCAGAAAACTGAAAATAAGTTTCAGCATATAATTCTAAGCCAAGTATCTGTTAACAGCATACTTTTACTAAAAGTAGCCAAATGAATATTTGTAAACTGGAAGATTAATGCTGGACTTGCAGTATAAGCTTATGTGTTTTGTTATGCAAAGATAATATTGGGATTAAAATTGGGTTAAAATGACTGGGCGCAGTGGCTCAAGCCTGTAATCCCAGCACTTTGGGAGGCCGAGGCAGGTGGATCACAAGGTCGAGAGATCGAGACCATCCTGGTCAACCTGGTGAAACCCCGTCTCTACTAAAAATACAAAAAATTAGCTGCGCATGGTGGCACGTGCCTGTAATCCCAGCTACTCAGGAGGCTGAGGCAGGAGAATTGCCTGAACCCAGGAGGCGGAGGTTGCGGTGAGCCGAGATCGCGCCATTGCACTCCAGCCTGGATAAAAAGAGCGAAACCCCGTCTCAAAAAAAAAAAAAAAAAAAAAAATTGGGTTAAAATGACCTCCAATTGAAAAATCTTTTTAGGCAGTTTGTACAAGTGGCAGAAACATGGTAAAAATGTAAATAAGGACACCATTCCTCCACACATGCTTCTTCAATGATGGAATTCCCAAGTGCAGTTTTAACAAATACCTTGTTAACTTGATGAATGCCAGAGCAGTTACGCTAAGCTTCAGAATCCATTTGATTTTAATTAAATTATTCACATTTGCCAAATTAATATATAGGAAATGTGGAATTTTGGGGCTTCGTCCTTGCCATCAATACATGTAAATGGATCAGATCATAAAAAAATGTGCCAACAGCAAAAGCACACTGCTTATTGTCTTCAGTCGGTGTGCTGGACACAATGCTAAATATTTTACATGTATTAACTCATTATGTGTGATAACTTTGAGGTACAGATTACTGTTATCCCTAGTGAGCTATTTCACAAATGAGGAAACAGAAATTAAAGAGGGATTAAGTCATTTGCTGAAGGTCACGTAACTAATAACAGGTAAACTTGAGTTTCAAACTCACAAAATACAAGCTCTTAAATCCCATCTTCCATACACAATTTTCCCTGGTGAAGGCCAAGGAAATATATATATATATATATACTTTTTTTATATATATCCACATATACACATATGTGGCCTTCAAATATATATATTCACTCTAATTATCCAGTCAGCATAACCATATGCAATGACAGATGCTAAGAACACAAGATAACATCAGAGTTTAACAAGATCATCGTCTGCTTCATTAAATCTGCCTAACTTGATTTTTTAAATAGCTTATTATTATGTTTTGACAACTAACATGGGATATTATTTGTATTTCAAATAAAATAACATTCTTTCTTAAAATCTTTTTAAAGAATGTTTAGGGCCTAAATTCTGGCTTGTCTACACAATGCTTTTCAGGTAAATCAGCTATTTAATCACTGCATACAATGTCATTCTCATGTGCTTTCTAGCCAAGGCACATGCTGCTTATCCTGTCTACAATATCCTCCTTACTTTTCCGTCTTTCTTGAAAAACATATCCTTTAATTTCAGGTCAAGCTCTAGCTACTTGTGTCATACTGTTCAAGTTCCATGGCTCAAGTGTTTAACACAGAGTAGGAGTCACAAAACACATTGACTCATACCTCCTATATTATTCCTTTTCAGATCCTGAGCAGCAGACCCCAACAATTTAATTCAACCTGAAAGACCCTTTTAGTTTTCATACTTTTAACTTATGAAATATTAGCATTTTTAAATAATTTTTACAAATTTCTGAACAGTAATAATTTTTTGAGATTCCTTAAATTATTGTCCAACACCATATCAAATAAGGAAACAATACGATGTAATAAGTATTCTACTACCAAGACCTAGGGTTTTACATTTAATATTGCTATTAGCTCTTTTTTAGATGTCCAGCATTCTAAATTGGAGTTCAGTTAAAATTGCCATTAAATAAACCTAATAATATAAATTTAAGTCAGAAATGATTATGCATAAGTTGTCTAAAACTATAACATAATATACAAATATTAGTTTACATAATCATTAAATTCTTTGAAGAGGAAACTGCCTTTTACCTGTGTGTTATATTTAAAATTACAAACGACACTGCAGCATTCTCAATGCTAACTGAGAGGAAAATATGTCTAAATTAAGAGAATGTCCGTATTATGAAATAGTTTCAAAGAAATAATTCGTTACTTAAATATTTGTTGAGTGCCTACCACACTGCAGGCATAATTCTAGGTGGTAGGCACACCAGCAGTGAAAAAAACTAAATTCCTACTCTCATGAAGTTTATATTGTAGATAAGTAGAAAATAAACAAATATTATATAGTAAAGGATGATCAATATTACACAGACGAATGAAGTAGGCTTCACAAAACTGGAGAGTGCAACTCAGCTTTTACCATTTTATAAAGGGCTATCAATGTAGGCAATATTTGAGTTGACATTTATTGATATGAGGAAACTGTGAGAGAACACTATTTATTGGAAAAAATTAAGGGCTCAATTTTGAACATGTTAAAATAGTGATGCCTATTAGACATCCAATAAAGGTGTTAAGCAGGTAGATTGAGCCAAAAAATCAGGGGAGAGGTATAAGGTGATGTGTGTATTAGGGAACCATCAATATGGATACGGTCTTTAAAACCAAGACAGTGATTGATATTACTGAAGAGTAAGTATAGGTGGACAAGATTAGAAGCCAAAGGACTGAGCCTTGTGACATTCCAACATTAAGAGGTCAATACAGAAAACCGGCAAAGAAGACAGAGAAGAAACAGATATCAATGTCAAATGAAATCAAGAGATCATGGTGTCCCAGAGCAGCCAACTGAAGAAAGTCACAGATGAGGAGAGAGATACTGTACTATAAAATACTCCTAATACATTAAGAACTGAGAGTTGACCACTGTATATGAAAATATGGAAGTAACTGGTTGACCATGAAAAAAACAGTTCCTGGATAGTAGTGGACACCCAAGACTGAATGGAGAGAATTCAAGAGAGAATGGGAATGCAGTTATTCCAATTCTGTGTATATACCAAAAGGAATTGAAAACAGGGTCTTAAAGAGGTCTGTAGCAGCATTACTCAACAATAGCCAAAAGTGGGAAGCAACTCAAGTATCTACCAATGGATGAATAGATAAAACAAAATGTGACACATACATACAGAAGAACATTATCCAGCCTTAAGAATAAAGAAATCCTGTCATTCCAAATATGGATAAGCCTTGAGGATATTATGCTAAGTGAAATAAGCCAATAACTAAAAGTTGAATAGTGTATAATCTTACTTATATGAGGTAGAGTAGCCAAATTCTCAGAGACAGAAAGTAAAATACTATTTCCTAGGAGTTAGAGGGAAGCAGGAGTGGGGAAATGATTGTTTAATGTAAACAGTGTTTCAGTTTTGCAAGATGAAAACAGTTCTGTGAATGAATGCTGGTGATGATAGCATAACAATGTTAACCTACTGAATGTTACTACAGTATACACTTAAAATGTTTAAGTTTGTAACATTTTATGTTATGTGTATTTCACCATAATTTTTTAAATGTTCATGAAATTGGTACCAATGAGAAGTGAAAGAGTAGTCATAATTTTCTGTAACTTTTTTATTTCACTTCACAGCTTGTAAGAGAGGAATGTATGTTATTTGTGAGAAAAGAAAAAAGACATACACAAAGTCCATAGCAGCCTTAAACATGATAGCAAAAATACTGAAACAACCCAAATGTCATTCAGCATATGAATGGATAAAGAATCTGTGTAAAATTGAATACTATTCTGTAATACAAATGAACACATTACTGATAAATTTAATATGGCTGAATCACCACATAGAGCAAAAGAAGTCAAAAATATATACTATATCATTCCATTTACATAAAGCTCAAGAACAGATATCACTAAATCTACAGTGTTAAAAATCAGGATAGTAGTTGCCTTGGTGTTGGGGATTGACTGGGAAAATGTACATGGGAATTTTCTGGGGTACAGGTAATGTCCTAGGTCTTGATAGAGGTGGACACATTAATCGAAAGGCATCTGATTGTACATTTAAATCCATCCATTTCATAATAAATTATTCCTCCGTTTTTTAAAAATAGACAATGGGAAGATAGAATGTGATGACAGCAAGTATAGACAACTCTTCAGAAGAGTTTTACAATAAAGGGGTGCAGACTTGGAAGCCAAAAAGAATTTTTGTTGTAGTTTTGGGTTTGGTTTTGGTTTTGGATGGAACACACTGCAGCATGTTTGTGTGCTAATAAGTATGATTCAAAGGGGAGGGGCAAAGTCTAAGGTGATGTCATTAAACAAGAATGAGAGAATGAGAGCCAGAGAGTAAGTACAGGTGTTAGCTGTTTGCAGCAGCATGACCACTCAACCCACAGTAACAGTAATGAAGGAGAAGTGTAAGGCTACAAAGCAAGTTAAGTTGGGAGAGGTGTATGAGGCCATGAGAAAGATCTATTCTAACTGCTTAATTGTACCTAGTATACAGTATATGTATATATACACTATGTAATGTACATACTAGTAAAGCAGCTTTGTTCTCACACTGCCCACAAACTTTCCCTTTTATCTTGGGTTTTTCATATTCAGAAGAATTTGCCATTTTATAATTAACTCTTGGTTTCACTGGCTCTGTAAGAAAAAAGAAAGATGTTAGTCCAGTCATTTAAAAATATAATGTTCAGTTTTCCAATCAATAAATTAATGAAACTATGCACATTTCCCATCTCTGGATCAAACTGAAGCCCACATAGAACAAATTCTAAACATTTATAATTTTATATATTCATAATGCATATATGTATGCAAATATATATATTTCTAAATTTTTTCTATCAAATTATATTAATCATGAAACATTAAATGTGTTTATTATCCTCCAGAAAAACATCTCATTTCTTTAGGAATTATTATAAATTCAAATTATGTTTTTGGTTCTGCTATTATTTAAATATAAAGCAATTTTTTTATTTTTAAAATTTTTCTAGAGTGAAATTTTAATTGAAAATTTTACACTGCTAAATTATCTTCCTTATTAAAATATTACATCAATAAAATTTAAAGAACAGTGCTGTAAAGTCTTACTTTTGCAAACTGCTATTATTATAATCATGTACTAAGTTTACATTTTTTGACACAAAAGCCCCCCAAAATACCCAAATAAAATTTATGTTGAAAATCAATGTGTCATGATTTGGGGGTTTAGAATCTTTATCCTGTATGAACAATTCTAAAACTTTAACTTTACATGTAACTAAAATGGAAAAGAAAGGGAATTATGTCTTTAGCATTTAATAACATGGTGATAAACTATTTACCTTGAATCTGTTCCTTCAGTAATTTTAATTTCACCTTTCCCGCAGAAAACTGTATTAATAAAATAGATACTATTTGTCAGGTATACATTATCTTATTCAAAGAAAGTTTAAGTTACTAACAAAAATATTAGAAAGGAGCCTTTGGTGCACTTTGAACAAAAATTTATTTTTAAAGAATAATATAAAATTAGTAGGAGATCGTCATTAAAGCATAAATACACTGTTTAATTTAATAGAAATTCATAAAAAAGAAAATAAATTTTGAAAATAATATGTAAACCAGTTTTTGAAAACATAAATTGGCTTTTAAACAAAAAACATTATATGTCATCATGAAATGACTTTAGGAAATTGCTAGTATTCAAATATGGTAAAGGTTTAATAAATCTTTTTCTGTTTCTGCTTTTTCTGAGACACACAATCTTAATATTTGTGTAGACTGAATCTAAACTGAATTGTGATTAAGTTATTCTGCTTACATTGCTATAGAAACCCATATTATTATCTTATTTGCCCAATTTAGAGAACTACATGTTTAAGCATCACAAGCTTATCTTTCAAATATATTATTTATAATCCCTGACTGTCCTAAATATTAGCCCACAATAATGAATAAATAAGATTCACTGCTAGATATTTCAAATTAAACAACACTTAATATTTGGGGATTTTTATCATTTTAGGAAATAAAATAGACTTGCCAATTGAACATGCTTGCCTTGATCTTATTAAAACCAACATTTAAAGTACACAAATGAGAATGAAGGATGGTGTGCATTTATATAGACACTGTCAATTCAGACCTAGTTTTCAATTTGCAATTTGCATGCTCAATTACTCATTTTGTACATGAGAATATGAGAACAATGGCTGCCTGTATATCTATGGCTGTACCAACTGCAGTCATCTGCAAACGTAGGCCTAATTATTCTCAGTGAATCTAGTGATTTTGCTTCAAAGGGCAGTTATTTTTCACATTCTTCAAAGTAACTGCTCAGATGCCATATGCCAAACATAGCAGAAAAGAAAATATGATTGAAATCATCAATGTTTCTATGAAACACACATTTATTTTTAAACTGCTAATGTTACACAAGTTACAGATAATCTAATCTCATCTTTCACAACCAAATTATCCAGTATGATTACCTTAATGATACATCTGAATTGAAACATGATCAGTGTGGTTATAGGCAATCCTGGATGGAATGGATAGATATGCCCAAGCAAAAAGAAACCCATTATTAGGAAGATTGTATAATTTGTTTTTATTATGAATAATATTGTTCTGCTCTATGAATACAACCATGTTTATTTCAAGTAATTCAAATTGCATAAAAATATTTCAGTGAACAAACTGCTAGCTGCTATTTTTAGACAAATATAATTTCTTCATAGGTCTGATTTTTATCTGTTTGGGAAAGGGTTGGAGGTGGGAAAGGGTTGAACCAAAGATACACATACTTGCACAAACACATACATACACATATACACATGTACATATACATATATACATACAGGCATATGTATATATACATGTATATAGAAAGATGGATATCTGTATATGTTTGTATATACAAATGTCAGGAATTTACTATACCAAAGCCTATGCCTTATTAACCTGCTGACTCCTCCAGCAGTAGGTACTGAAGGGGTGCTATCAGGGGCCAGGAAAGCTCAGTGGGTTTACCACACAGGTAGATTATCTAAGTCACTGGGGTCAGACTATGCTGTCATCATCAGCCTTCCTGGCATTCACAAATACCTCCAAGCTGCCACCAATGCCTTCATCTGCCACACTGAGCCCAAACTTCTCCCACAAGTAGCCTTTCAGACATTCTCACTGTCAGCCCAATTAGCTACTGAAACTTTGCAATTCTGTACTACTTGTCCTTCCTTCCAAGTTCCCCTGCCATTCCAGGGAGCATCTATTAAATAGCCATTTATGTATCTTATGCTTTAAACCTTTCCTGAAAATGTTTCATTCAAAATTTACATCAACCGAAACTCACCTTTACTTAGACACAATCTTCACCAAAGCACTTCCCTCAGGACCTAGCTCCAGAAACTCCCTTTTACACACTAGGAGAGATAAAATTTTTCAATTTGTTCTTCAGTGCTGCTTCCAGAATATTGTTCTGCTATCATTCAGCAAAGTTGCTTCTACTATAGGCCCCCACCATCCACTTGCTGCCTGTGTCAATATCTAGGATCTCTTCCACCTGAGCTTCAGCAACCTGCTCAGTATTTCTCTCCATCACATTTCTGATTGACAATCTTAGAGGCTTCAATGTACATGTTCACCTGACATCCTGATTTGAAGACCCTCCACATACTGGCCACTGTGAACATCTAAATGCCTCTTCAGCCATCTCACCATTATGACCAAATCTGGCATGTAAGCAGTATTCTGAATAGCCACACCTTCAAAATCTCAGACTCAAAAAAGTTTTTCAGTACCAACTTCAATCACCTTATCTCTCCCCTCTGAGAGCTCCCATACCTATGAAACATTGCAATAAAAATAGTATTGTGGAGCCACCTCCAAATCTATGCTGAACAACCTCAGTAGGCTCTGTGGCTCTTTGGCAATCCATTTACTCATTCGCTGCTAAACCCCAACCACAGTTCCCACAGTGGCTACTCCAAACCTCTTCATTCCCAAGAACTCAAATTTGTCCCATTTCCCTTCATTCACCTGAGCAAATGATACTGTCTTCAACTGTACTAAGAAAGTTGAGACCTTCCCATTAAAATATTTCAGTGTCCTACCTTACCACTAGTCAAAAATAATCTCTAAAATTTATTTTCATTGCCACTTATTTTTTCTTCCACCTTTCTTGTCACATGCACACACACACACACACACACACACACACACACACACACACACACAGTGTCCTCCTTTCCTTAGTTAAAGCCTCTTTAATGAACCACCTTTTCAAAGACCACACCCCCAGCAACGACACCTCTTTCATCTACATTTTTACTCTTTCCTCTACTAGGATGTACATCTTTCATTGCACAAACTGGCTCACATCATCTTCCCAATTCTAGAAAAGAATATAATAAAGTTTTTCCTTGATTCTGTTAAACCCTCGGCTTTCGTGCTGGCTCCAACAATAGTCTTTACTCACTGCTTCCCACACTTTTCTTTTCAACCAATTGAAATCTACTCTCCTATTTAATATTGACACAATTATCAAATTTAGGGCTTTTGAATATTTTCATTATCCAGAAATAGACATTTTAATGTGTATTGTTTAGGTACCATTACAAAGGGGTTTCACATATTTCAACGAGGTTTTGATGTTGCTCAAAAGCTCTTTGAAGTGTTTAGTAGGTATTATTATGCATGTTTACAAATGTAATAGAGGCTCAAAAAGATTAAGTCAATGTTAATCTATATAATCTAATACAGATTTCTAGAACTCAGCACCACTGACATTTGGGGCCAAAAAATTCTTTGTTGTGGGGTTGTCAAGTGCATTGCAGGATGTTAAGCAGCACCCCTGGGCCATACTCATTATACATCTTTAGCAAACACACACACACAAAAAAAAAACAACAAAAATATTGCTCTCAATGTTAACAGCTGAAAATGTCTCCAAACATTGTCAAATGTCTCCTGGGAAGCAAAATTGCCCCCTTGAGAAACACTGGTCTAAAAAGAGACTCAAAATGTTTTTCACTACACGATATATTGGACAATATTGACTTTATATTTTCTAAAAATGCTCTCCTTTACTTTCATCCCTATAACATTAAACTACTTCGATTTTAATTCTGCGATTCTTTTTCTTCTCAATCTCTCTTCACTAGAGAGCTGGCAAATTATCTTAGACAAGCCTGAGAGCTTGCATGTCAAATCTCGGCCCTGACTTTTGACCTTGAGTGAGTTATTTAATGTTTTGATATTAAGTTACTTTATCTGTGAAACTGGAATAATAACAGCTTCTTAGGAGTGATATAAGCACTTAATGAGATAAAAAAGGAAAAGAAGCTAAACTGTTGACTGGCATTAAAACTTACTGAACTTATCGAGTGAATATTAAAGTTCTCTTTGGCAATATATTCTACACAGTGGCTTTCTTTAAGCTTTATTCTTTATATCCCTCTACTTTTTACACATTTTTTAGGGAGCGCATTTATTCTCTTAAATTTCACATGAAAATTCAAACAAAACTCTAAATCCATATCCTGTACTTTTCTAAGTCCCTTCTTTATGCTATCTATCTCTTAGTCAATCCAGCCTGTATATCAATTATATGTTTGACTCCCTCCTCTCCTTTGTTACTGTTTTTTTGATCCCACAGTTTTCTTTATATCTATTTTTCTACCCTTTTAATTTAGCCTCCTTTCATCTTACCTCTAGATTCTTTTAATAGTCTTACAAGCAGCCTGCTTCTAGTGAAATAAGTTTGTTTTAATTTTCAGGTAAGAACTTTTATAATTCATTTTTCCTTAAGATAGGGAATGACACTAGAGAATAAAACACTTTCTCAAAGCCAAAAACTTTAGATGTGCCAACTAAGATGTTTGTAGATTCCAACTGATCCAATGAAAGTTTAATGATTGGTACATAAAAAACTAAAGCTGTGTAAGTTAATACTTACAAAGTTACAAATCTTGTAGTAAAGAATCCAGAAGCAAAACTGTTTTCTTTATGTAAAGACACTTATCTGATTTTCATCTTAAATATAATATTTTATAGTGCACAGTAAAGGAACAACAATTCTATAGCTTGAAAACTGAAAAGTGTTTTTTTCCTTGGGTGTCTTCACACATAGACTCAACGGTATATGAATAATAAATTACTCAAGCAGAATATAAAATATTAAACAAATGTGATATAAAAGTAGGAATAAAGTCTCTCATTTGCTATTATTAAACCTTTCACCTTAGTTTAGAAGTATCTAGTTGTATTTTACATATTTTAAACCGGATCCACACTGAATGGAACACTTCAGTTTGGAATATGGAAAAATTCACTGCAAGTTAAAATTCTGAAATCAACTTGTAGCTGAAAAACAAAAACATAACTGAATAATGAAAGTTGCATATTAGCCTACAAAATGTATCAAAAATTGAATAATATGCAAAGTTGTTAAAATTAGAAGAGTAAATTCCTGAGTATAGAAGAAAATGCAAGGCTAAAAAATTATATCTTCTTGCTTAGCAAATTCAATGAGAATCAAATAGTATCTTCTTACCTTAATAACATTTCCTTTATTTTGTGGCATCATGTATGATTGATTACCCAATTTGCCCCCTTTTCCAGATTTCCAGTAATATCCACTTGACCTTTAATATATATAAACAAGACAAAATGTAATTACTAAATACATTTCTCCCTTTAATGAAAAGAAATATAGTTTTCCTGTCTTGGGAAATGGAAATTCAGTTGTTAACATGTAACAAACAAACAAAAAAATGAAAACGAAATACCAATAATGTCAGAAAATCCTCAGTAATTTTAAAATATAGCTTTATCATATTCATGATATGGGGATTTTGTGGGGAAATGAATAAAAGTGAAATATCCAAACACAAATGAAGAATTCTATTTTCTTGATATTCACAATAACTAAAGATAGCTTTATTGAGTCATAGGAAATTTTACAAGTCATTATGCAGTTTTAAAAGCTAAGTGTCCACAAATGTAAAGAGGAAAAGCAAACAAACCAATACCACAAAATATTCATAGCTCTAGTAAGCGATGAATTCCTTATTAAAACCTCAAATGATCTCCCACATTGACACATAACCAAGAAGGTAAACTTTAGCTGTACAGTTTTAAAAATATATTTACTTGAGCCTAGCAAAATATTTCTGTAATTATCAAGGCCGAGAGTCCAATTATCATTAAAGAAAAAAAAGACAAAAAGTTTCCCAACATCACACAGAATAAACAATTAAGATTAGAGCACTAGACTTCTATCTTCCCGGCTGGTGAGAGCAGGTTCTCATTCTGGCTATGACATTTAATATCTGTGTGACCTCAGAAAACAATGTAACTACTCTAAAAATTCAGTCAAGCTTTAAAATGTTAAGAATCATCTAGAAAGTCTTCCACAGCTTAGAAAAACTCACTCTTGAGTGCTGATTCCAGCAACTCTGATTCTCAGATGAGTACCATGATCCATTTAGAAGTCCAAACTAAGTCCAAATCAGTGAAGTTTATAAAAGAATTGGCCACTGAGTCATTAAAAGCAGCAAGACACATAATAAACTTTGTCATCCTGGATGACATACAACATGAGATGCTCTGATTCAACCAATTCTCTGATTATCAGTTGGGGCATGTATATAAGTTATACACATTTTTCAAAAAATTGGACTCTAAAGATAAAGACTGAAAGTATAACGAACACATTTGAACTGTTAAAGGTTCAGAAAGTACTTCTAGGTATTTGATGGTCATCATTTTGAGGACTAAACAAAAGTTAATTTAATATACAAACAGTTTGGTGACATTTAGTATCAGCAAAGGGACATGAAACATGCACTCTCATATATTGTAGGAAAAGATTATAAACTTTTGACATCTATTTAAAAGACAATTTCTCAATGTCTATCACAATGTAAAATGCACATAACACATTGACCTAAAATGACAGATGTAGGAATTTATGCCACAAACAGCTTTGCATATGTAAGCAAAAATACATGTAGAAGCATGTCCATGGCAGCATTTATAATCATAACATAATAAAAACATAATAAAGATCTAAAAAAATGCTATTATGTTCACACAGAAAATACTACAGAGCCACTAAGAAAATTAGGTAGATTAATGCAGTCTGATATAAGAGCACTATGATATATTACATAAAATAGTAGACTATTAATTAATCCCCATATTTTTTAGATGAACTCATTTGTTAAAATAAAAAGGAAAAGACGCAATATACACAACAAATATACACACTCAAAATAAACATTCATACACATGTATATACATAGATTTGTACAAAGACAAGACATTTGTAAGGAACATTTTTGGCATTAAAAGGGGTGCTAGAAAATGGGCTGGGAGTTATCCTAGAGCTAAGAAGAAAGAATTACACACACACACACACACACACATACACACACACACACACACACACACACACACCCCCCACATATATGTATATATAATAGCATTTACTTTTCAGATCTTCATTATGTGTATATATGTGAATTCTTGCCCCAGAAGTCTTTGAATAAATAAAAATGTCTCTAAAAATAAACTGGTGTTTATTTGCTATTGATGGCAACTATCTGAGAGCAAAAGGTAAAGTGTGCACTGCTGCCATTAACATTCTAGACCATAAATCAATGAGAAGCATAAAGTTTAAAAAAAAAAAGGGAAATAAGAAAGAATAAGACCAAATAATGTTCAGAAGAAACAAAAGTAATGGTAGTTTTAAAAAGCAACATGTCTCATCTAAGTGACACAAAAACAAAAAAATAGAAGACCTTTGATATTTCTTGTTCATCAGGGAAAGTCAAAAATTATCCACCGATTAAACACTTTTACTGGAATGACAACAGTAGATAAAATAGTTCTTTATATAATTTGGTTGATTCTTCTAAAATTCTCTAAGAGTTTCACCCACTCTCTTTCTTCCTTTTCTCTGCTTCCTATGGATCGGAATTCTTGCAGCTTCTTCTCCATCTCTTGGTTCTCCAACTCTAACCGTACTTTCTCCATTCGCAGTTCATGAGCATTTCTGAAGACATAGATTTAAATATAGAAAGTTTGGAGTAAGCAAAGAAAACAAGCAAAGGCAAAATAATTGTACGTAATATTTTGATGTTAAATTAGAATCATGAATAATGAATAAAATATTTTACCTATTTCTTTTGTACTTCTCTGAAATCTGGTCTTTAAAGTTAGTATTTGCCCCCCATCAAAATCCTGAAGCAAGTTATCTCTTCAAATCTTAGACTTTTGTTTTAAGTATTACATTGCTAAAGGCTCAAAATCATAATTAACTTCATATATAAGGCATGTTATTATATATGCACAAACGTCTATAACATGCAAATAGAAAACAAAGAAAAAATATTTTCTAATTTTCATATTGTTTTGCCTCCTATGCAGTCAAGTAGTTTGAAGCACAGTGTTTAAAAAAATAGACAAAAATATTCATTTTGCTGAACTGGTCATCTTGGAAATTTTAAATAAACCTCTACCTTTGTGTCATATATATATATATATATATATATATATATATATATATATATGATGCAGAGGAAAAGGTAGTACCTGTTTGAGACCTATTAAGAAGAAAGCTCCTGGGCCAGGTGCAGTGGCTCACGCCTGTAATCCCAGCACTTTGGGAGGCCGAGGTGGGTGGATCACTAGGTCAAGAGATTGAGACCATTCTGGTCAACATGGTGAAACCCTGTCTCTACTACAAATACAAAAATTAGCTGGGCATGGTGGCGCAGCCTGTAGTCCCAGCTACTCGGGAGGCTGAGGCAGGAGAATTGCTTGAACCCAGGAGGCGGAGGTTGTGGTGAGCAGAGATTGTGCCATTGGACTCCAGCCTGGGTAACAAAAGCGAAACTCCATCTCAAAAAATAAAAAAAGAAGAAGAAGAAGAAAGCCCCTATTAATGGTTTTGGTACAGAAGATCCCTGTACAAGAGATTTTTATATCTGAAACTCACCAAGTTGTTGACAAAAGACATTTTCTTCATTGTACAAAGTCTGGTTATCAGCATTAACCACTGACTCTTTGTTTCATAGATCTAACCACAACTAGTTGCCTAGCTTTTGCTATTCCAAGTGCAAATCTCTTCCTTCAATATTACATTAGTGTTTTACTACAACCAAGCAGTGTGGGCATCCATGCATGCCATGGTATGGAACAAAATCAAGGCATGATGAAGATCAAAAAGGAGAAATCTTTCTAGAGGTAGTGAGCAATTACCAAAAAGCAAGTGGGCCAAGGATACGTCCCAAGAGGACACAATCCAGGAAGATATACAGGATGTGATAGGAAGGGCTGTCCAGAGGGTTCAGAGAAGCTGGCTAAGATACAGAAAGAGAGGCATTTATTTTCATTTTATTTACTCCACAACAAGTAATGTAGCTCCTACCGCAAACAAACACTGCTAGGTGATAAGATATGAAATACAATGGAGCTTCCAGTATTGAGAGAAATAGATAAGCATGAAGGTAATTGAAATACAATGTAATAGTGCTCTCATTGGAAAAGTACAGGGGGCTACCTGGGCACAAAGAAAGAGCACATACCTCAGCCTTGTGAATGCAGGAACAGTTCCTGGAGAAGGTGAAATCTGAGCTGAGACCTAAAGGATGAAAGGACTTAGCCAGTCAAAGGGATGTGGTGAGAGCAGTGTTCCAGAAAGAAAGGAGTGTGGACACAGGTAGGAAAGAGCAATGACTGGGTCAAGGACCTAGAAGTTCTCTGTGAACAGACATAAAGTGCAAATAGGAAAAGCAGCAGAAAATCAAACTGCTGAAGTGGACAGGATCATGAAGAGCCTTGCAAGCCATGATGAGAAATGGGGATTTATAGCGTGTGAACAATGAGGATCATTAAAGGGTTTTAAGAGAATTGATAAGACTTGCATTTAGAAAGATCATTCAGACTGTATCAAAGGAAATCAATTAGAGGGTGCAAGGATAGAAGCAAGACAGCTAATTAGTATACTATTCCAGTAATCCAGATAATAGAAAATTTGGGTTAGTCTAACTGAGCAGGGGCAATGGAGAGAAACATGGGAGCTTTTGAGAAATGTAAGAAAATAGAACTAACAACTTGGAAACTGACCAGTGTGACTGACCAGAAAGGAAACAAGGAAGAAATCTAAAATAATCGCATGTTTCTTACTTGAGCCGTCAGGAGGGCAATGGCGTTATTTCCTGAAACAGACCATTCTGGGATGGGCTGCAGGTACAGTTGAGGATGAATCCTGCAGTTGGTCTCCCTGCCTAAAGTCTTGACAGCCTACCACACTTCACAAACTGCTTACAGGGGAAGAGTTAAAAGCACAAATATGATTGCATCACTTACTTGCTTAGAAGACTTTTGATGTTTTTGAGGTCCTACTGTGGTAGAGGAAAAGGGTAAGGCTGAAGGAAAAGACTGGCCCACTGACCAAGTGGTCAAGTTTATGTAAGGTTGGATTCTACGGGTCTCACACAAAACAAAGGATTCCTCCTGAAGACAACCTTATACACAAAGCCATAAAGCAAAAGCAAGGCCTCTGGGGAAAGCTAAGGTTGATCCTTAGCTTTATTTAATTTATTGTTTAAGAGATTTTTTAAGATTTCCAAAATGATCACTTCAGCAAAAATATGTATGTTGCCTATGTAGAAAAAAAATTGTTGCTTCAAATATTATGCCTTAAACTATTTAAATATATTAGAGCCAATATAGACAGTATGAAGATTAGAAAAAAGTTTCTAATCAACAGAATAAATCCAAGGGCTAGAAATAAGACTATTTTTTATTTGTTTTAATTATTACATTGCTAGAGGTTCAAAATTATAGTTTCTTCTCCATCTCTTGGTTTTGCAACTCTAACCGTACTTTCTCCATTCACAGTTCTTAAGCACTTCTGAAGACATAGATTTAAATATAGAAAGTAGATTTTTAAAAGACTACTTCTTATTTCTAGCCCTTGGAAAAGGCTAGAAAGAGGAAAAGAGGGAAAGAGGTCAAGAGGACCAGGAGAACACCAGAATGTCAGACACTGTAAAGACAATGTCAAATTAACAGGCTTGGAACAAGGGAAAAGTGAGAAAGGAAGCTCCATGGTAATCACCATGAGTGAGTATTCCTGTGCTGGTTTTTAATGGTTTGTGGATCATGGAGACTTATAGGTCAGGGAATAGTGATTCCCCCTTATTTCCAAATTCTTTAACATGACATACAAGTTAGTTATTATCGAGACCCTGCCTTTTTCTCCACCTTTCTTCTTAGACAATTCGATATGTCTGAGAAGTCTCCAAATCATGTGGTCTCTGTGTCTTTGCATGAGTTTCACCCAGTAACTACCCACCTAACCACATCTCTCACTCAAAATGTGGGTACCTCCTCACTCCTGCTCTGGCAGTTTGAGCCATGTTCTCTCCTAGTCCCTTGCCTGTACACATCACACCATGCTTCGTATTATATTGTCAATGTGACTGTACTCATTCATATTCTCTGCAAGCTTTCTGAGTGCCAGGACTATGACTACCTACTTTTGTAGCCATCATTCCCTAACACAGTATATAGAAAATGCACATAGTAAATGTTTGTTGGCTGAATGTTTATCAGCATAGACACGTGACCTTGAAATATGTCACTAAAATCAAATAATGCATGTCCCTTTTTGTTTTTCTATTAACAAAATTGGTAGTCTTAGCTATTAGGTAGCTCCACTCCCCATCAAAAACATGGTATGCCCAATAATGATAATGCCATATATATGTAAGCATTTTCCAATTTATACAATCCTTTTATACTCAGTATTTCAAAGGTAAAGAGAGCATTAGAATAGCTTTGAAGATACTGAATAACAACAAAACTATTGATCTGGATCAAAAAACTCAGAAACTCAAATTAAAATGGATAGCCTGGGCCGGGTACAGTGGCTCACGCTTGTCACCCCAGCACTTTTGGGAATAGAGGTGACAGGATCACTTGAGGCCAGGAGTTTGAAACTGGCCTGGCCAACATGGCCAAGCGTCATCTCTATTAAAAATACAAAAATTAGCCAGGTGTGGTGGCGTGCACCAGCTACTTGGGCAGATGAGGCAGAATTGTCTGAGCCCTAGAGGCAGAGGTTGCAGTGCGCCGAGATCGTGTCAGTGTACTTCGGTGTAAACAACAGAGCAAGACTTGATACTTGATCTTAAAAAGAGAAAAAAAGTCTGTCCTCATCCCATGCTAGCAGGCTCTTACTGGTATTTGAGAGGAAAGCCCTAAGTATTTCCAGTGACTCTAAGATGTGATGTCAAAGAGAAACAGGGAGCTACACTCTCCCATACCCTTACAAGGTCATAAAATTCCCAGCAGGTCAGAAATTGTTTGGCCCTGGGTGAATGCATCTCCCAGTCACCTAGGACAGATCTCTCCTAGAAAGGGTAAATTCAACATAACGTCCTTCATGCAAAGGGCTAAAGAATGTAGTGCTCTCTATTTCCTGGGTTAGGAATATCTCACCCTAATAGTCTCCCTAAATTTCACGATAATCCTTACTAAACTTTGAATGGGAGTCAGGAAAAATATGTTTAACTTTCTGTTGTGTTAATAGGTAATGAGCCTATTAAAACCTTTATAACTTGTCACTTTGTTTCTTTCAGAATAAATATTTTTAATCCACATTTTTAAACCCTATAGATTTATAATATTTCAAAGTTATATTCTTATAGCTAGTAATACAAGAATGTGAAAAAGTGGGAGATAAGAATTCACAAAACTTGAATTCAATTTTAAACAGCCTCATGGAAAAATATAGTCTAAATTACAATATACAGAAGCTTGGCAACTATCCCTACTAAGATATATATATATATAAACTCACCTGTATTTTAGCTTTACAGAATTTCCAGGTTTTCCCCATGGAAGAACTACAAAATCTTTTATGTTCATGATTAATGCCTTAATATTGTCTGAAAGTTATTCTGATTTGTGAACACTTCTGTAAAAATACAAAGACAAAAGAATTATGGTGGAGGTAAAGCAGTATAAGTTACAAATTCAAAATTCCATGTAATTCAGGAAAGTTTTTAAAACTTTATGAGAAAAAAGAATCAATCAAAGTTTAAACAGCAAAAACTACGATACACTGCCAGCCCTTGCCCCCTGCAGCCATGTATCAACCAGAGAATCAAAAATATTTGAACAGAAAATAATACCAAAAATACAGTACAAGTATTTACAGCATTTACATTGTATTCAGTATTAAAGTAAGCAAGAGCTAATTTAAAGTATACAGTAGGTTATGTGTAGGCTTTATGCATATTTTATATAAGGAACCTGAGCATCTTTTAATTTTGGTGTCTGCATGATGTGAGGGAGTTACTGGAACAAATCTCCTGTGGATACCTAGAAATGACTGTATTTTAAATATAAATTATGTAAGTATTTATATACTAATAAAGTTAGAAATGTAACATGTCTGATGGAACTAACATTTACTAGTATTTATGAACAGTTGACCCTTGAACAACATGGAGGTTAGGAGGACGACTCCCACACAAAGTCAAAAATCTGTGTATAACTTCTAATTTCCCCAAATTTTACTAATAGCCTATTGTTCATCAGAAGCCTTACTGATAACATAATCAGTTAATAATTATGTATGTTATATGCATGTATATACTATATTCTTTTAAAAAGTAAGCTAGATAACAGAATTGAGAAAATCGTAAAGAGGAAATACATTTACCATTTATTAAGTGAAAGTGAATCATGATAAAGGGGCTTCATCCTTATTGTCTTCACACTGAGTAGACTAAGGAAGATGAAAGAGGAGAGGAGTTGGTCTTGTCTCAAGAGTGGCAAAGGTGGAAGGGGAGAGGATATGGAGGGGGAAGCCAGAGAGACAGGCACGCAAGTATAACTATCATTAAAATATGTATATTTATAAGTGGATCCATGCAGTTCAAACCTATGCTGTTCAGGGTCAACTGTATAGCAAAAGACTAGAGGAATATTCAACTAAAAGTGAAGGATGCATTCATTAAAACAAACCAAAGTACATATTCTATCTCTTTCTATGGCTAAGGCTATAAAAGTATATCAAGTATTTGTTCTACCTAAAAATAATACACGAGGCTATACAGAGAGAAATTTAAAGAATCTTCAAGACACAGTCTAAACCCAATAACCATTTTTTTACATATATGGCAATATAAAATGAAAATTAAGGTATGCAATAATTACCCAAAGGCATTCTAATATCATTTATCAAGGAAAATTTTAATGATGCTCTTTGGCTAAAATCAAAAATCAACATATTTGAGAAAGAATTTTTCAACAAGAAATAAAACAAAAAGGATTTTCTGCTTAACTCTGAGTTAACCAGAAAATAAAATTCAGAACGCCCTGTTTCCCAAGTATCCCAATTATTCATGGTTCTATAATAATTTACTCTGTAATGCTGAATTACTAAATCACAAGAACAACTATTAGATTTTTATAGGAATCAAAATTTCCAAGTTCTAAGAGATTTTAAAGAAATATGAGTCAATATTATAGTGACCATAGACTTAAATACCCACACCATTTGATGTTGTCATTTATATTTGTGTTCCAATGTGTGTGCTCATAACCACAATAAACATTTATTAAGGGACTGCTATATCCAAGGCAGTGTGCTAAGAGGCATGAAGAGCAGTCAAGGCCCAAGGAGATTTGTTTTCTGAGCTAAAATGGTTTGGAGTCAAATAGGGCACATAAGACCCTAAATATAAAAGCCATAAAACAATGTAAAAATTATAAGCATTATAAAATTTATACATGTGATAATATAGGAAGTGAAGGAAAAGAGAGAATTCAGCTGGCTACCATTTAACTAAAACTTTGAAGGAGAAAGGAGGCTTACAGATAAAGACATGGATTAGGTTCATTCCACACTGTTGGAAAGAACAGCTCTTGAATGGGGGACTAATGAATAGTTTCACTTGCTTGCTGTGCAGGTTACATGGAAGAAAAATAAATAAACATGAGTTTAGATATAGTGGCTGAGGCCCAATAAAGAGTGGCTTTAAATGCCAAGTTTATGGCATCTGGAATTTATTCTGTAGCTAATAAGAGTCTAATGGGGATTTAGCAGCGGGGAAACATGTCTAGAAGCTTTGTTCTAGGACTCAAGGAAAGACGGCACCAAAATTGGAGTTGCCTAATAAAAGACTACTTAGACATGAAAGTCTACATAACCAAATAAGTTCTTCATTGCTGTTCCTTTGGGAGACTATCTTATATTTCAATGATGCAACCACTGATAAAAACATTTTTGGAATGCCTTTTTTGAAACTATCTGCAAAATCCATTTTAAGGCTGGGCATGGTGGCTTATGCCTGTAATCCCAGCAGTTTGGGAAGCCCAGGTGGGCAGATGATTTGAGGTCAGGAGTTCAAGACCAGCCTGGCCAACATGGTGAAACACTGTCTCTACTAAAAACACAAAAATTAACTGGGCGTGGTGGCATACACTTATAATCCCAGCTACTTGGGAGGCTGTGGCAAGAGAATCACTTGAACCCAGGAGGTGGAGGTTGCAGTGAGCTGAGATCATGCCACTGCACTCAGCCTGGGTAACAGAGCAAGACTCCATCTGGAAAAAAAAAAAAGGAATCCATTATACACCAACAAACACACAAATCCATTTTGTTGTGCCTCATTTAAAATTAAAAATGATTGTGCAATAGGAGCAACTGTTTTTTCTCACTCAAATCTACCTCCAAATTACTTGCACTGTCTCCAAAACTTAAATCTAACCTGAAAGGGCAGATCTTTACCATTTTGGAGGAAATTCTCAAGAAATTTCTCTGAAGATGATTACAAAATGGAATTACACAAAATAATCACTACATTTTAAATAAGTTAGTGGTTGCATCATGGGACCAGTAATATTTGTACCTTCAATCCACAAACTTGTATTTAACTATTCTTTTGTGATCCCTATTATGGGTACTGAGGTTACGATGGCAAATAAGCCACAGTGTCTTCCCTTGAGGCCTTCGCAATCAAGAGAAAATCCACACAAGCAATCACTGTATCATGGGGCATTTTGATGGAAGAATCTGCTGGAAGAGTTTCACTCAGACTCAGTTTTCAATCATCAACTCCTGTTTCTCAAAGCTAAATGAGTGTCAAAGAGAATAAACATACCACAACAATAGAAAACTAAGATTTGGTTTGCTTTCTACTCCCTCATTTTTGTAGGTAGTATGTTTGTCCCATTTTTATCAAACAGAAGCTACCAAAGGCACCTTTAAAAAACCTCCAAGAATAATCCTGCTGCATAACATGGAGTTTGTATTGCCTTTTTTTAATTTTTTTTTTTTTTTTTTTTTTTTTTTGAGATAGAGTCTTGCTCTGCCACCCAGGCTGGAGAGCAGTGGTGCAGTCTTGGTGCACTGCAACCTCTGCCTTCTGGGTTCAAGCCATTTTCCTGCCTCAGCCTCTTAAGTAGCTGGGATTACAGGCATCCACCACCATGTCCAGCTAATTTTGTTCATATTTTTAGTAGAGACGCGGTTTCACCATATTGGCCAGGCTGATCTTGAACTTCTGACCTTATGATCCACCTGCCTCAACCTCCCAAAGTGCTGGGTGTACAGGTGTGAGCCACTGCACCTGGCCTGCTTTCTGATCATATTCATGGACTCCAACTACTGGACTTCTGTCTACTATTGATAACTTTGTCATAAAAACTTCCATAATGTTGTTATTATCATTAAAGAGATAAAACAAGAAGATAAAACAAGAATCCCCAAAGTTAATCTGTCTGATTAATCAAAATAATCTAAATTGCTATAATTTTGTTTACACATTGATACAGTATATGTATATGTACATATATATAAAGTCAAACTGATATATGATGATTGATTTTACCTATACAAAGAATGAATGAAAATCTGTAAAGTCTTATTAAAATGAGATGACTCAGATTTATAGCTTTACTGATGGTGTGATTTAACCAAAAAATGGTCTTATTCAAGGAGGATTTCACCTCACTGAATGCAATTAGTACGACTTCTTCTCAATTACATATTTTATCAAGTCACCTACATAAGCCAATTTACTTGTATGAAGAAAAAGGGGAGATTATAATTCTGAGTCATGCTATTTGCCTGTTTCCCTTTGTAAAGCCAACAGAGAATTTAGTCACCTTTCTTGGGATAGCAAGGATATAACAATGTCAGCAACAAGAAGAGCAAAGCACGAAATTTTAGGCACTTAATAAAACCCAAGGAATACAGACAAACTCCTTATGATGCAAACCTTATAGTTCCTTGCCTCTTTCGGTCATTCAGTTTTTTAATAACTAAATACCAAAAATTTAGATAAATGATTTGGAAAAGTTTCTAGTTACCTGATTTATTAGACTAAATCATTTTTCTGTCTACGACCCCATTTCTCCCCACACATAACACCTAATATAACTCAGAATTGCCCATGATGGTTTGGTGATCCTTCTACACATGTTCCTACTTTGAGAAAGCAACCCACATATCAAAACCTACTGCCACAGAATGGAAACAAGGAACTTACAATGCTCTACACAGCTAGAAACTCAGAGCATTAACAGGTGCAAGAGAACGCCACTGGCAGAATGGGAGGTTTGGGAAACCACTGTTTTCAAGATGGGCCACGTTTTGTAATTGAAAACTTAGGATTAGTTAATTCTACTCATGACTCAGATCATGTTAGGCACAAAACTTAAGAACCATAAATAGGAAATTTTCCTTACTGTAGCAATGTTTTGAAAAGGTCTAATCAGCAAGCAACTTTGGAAAAATTAACATTTTTAGGTATTTAGTACCATAGCACTTAGAAATCAGAGACCCAAGAAAGAAATGTTAAATGAGAATTTAAAATAGGTGTTTTTAATAATTAAAAAACTTTTACTTTTAACATTTCCTGTATCTGTAATTATACACACACACACATATATATATATATATATATATATATCTTTAAATCTGTCATACATATATAAATCTTTTAAAAATTCTATGGCAAGAACAAATAATACATAATTCCTAGAATAGAATCTTGTGCTGGAGTGTCCTACTAAATAAATGTATGTATGCCACATTCTCATAGCAAAAGCTCTAAACTAAAGCAGATATTGATATGGTTTGGCTATGTCCCCACTGGAATCTCATCTTGAATTGATAATTCCCATAATTCCCACATGTGGTGGGAGGGACCCCATGGGAGATAACTGAATCATGGGAGCAGTTCCCCCTGCCCCAACTAATTTCATGTTAGTAAGTTCTCACGAGATCTGATGGTTTTATAACAGGTATCCCCCTTTGCTTGGCTGTCATCCTTCTATTTCCCGCCACCATGTGAAGAAAGATGTGTTTGCTTTCCCTTCTGCCATGATTCTAAGTTTCCTGAGGCCTTTCCAGCCCTGCAGAACTGTGAGTCAATTAAACCTCTTTCCTTTATAAATTACCCAGTCTCGGGTATTTCTTCATAGTATCGTGAGAGCAGACTAATATAGGTATTAATTTCAGGTTGCATTCAATCAGCCCAACAAGATATCTGATAATAAAATACTGCATCAAGGCACTAATTAGTACCCAAGTCACCTATTTTTTTTCTTACCATCTATAGGGGGGTTCTTTTAAGAACAACTGAGAAACTTTGCCTTTAGATATCAAGGGACATTGTACTGTTTTAAAGTACTTTCAATTTTAAAAATAATAAGCAATATTAAAAGGTACTGATGTTAAGGTCAGAAGACCTAGGCATCCTAAATTCACTGGATTTAAGGTCAGATGACCTTTGTGTGACAGCAATCTCTGAACTTCAGTGTATCCATGTAGAAAATGGTAAAGATCCTCTCCCTGCTCTAATTTGCAGGATATTAAACAAACAGTGTCTGATCCGTGACCTGTAAAGCTGTAGGCTCCTATAACACCTCCAGAGAGCTCATGGTTCAGGGAAAAGGGCAGCCTTAGAAACTACCTAGAGAAGAAAATGGAGCATCAAGGTTCTACCTTATCCTTAGCATCTCTTGTTTTCATCTTTTTTACATAGTGAGCTTTAGTGTTTACCTCTCTGCTCAGCAAGTTGTATTCTATTTGATGCCCAGTTCGAAGGCTGCCTCTAGTCATGAAGATTCCCTCCACCAAAACCAAGCATCTCATACAAAAAAACCATGTTTATTAAACTCATCTGCTATTGTATGCTACTTTGTTTTTTTGTTGTTGCTTTTGTTTTTTGGGTTTTTTGTTTTTTGTTTTTTGGGTTTTTTTGCATCTTTATTTATACAGATTTTGTTTCCCTAAGTAGCCCAAATATTTGAGGGTAGTCCCACCACTGACTTTTGAATCTCTAGCAATTAGTATGGTGCCTACACATAATGTACTGCCAATGCTAATGTGCTACATATGAAATTTTTTTCTACTGCTTTTAGTTTTTTGCACAACCTACCCTATGGAAAAAAATTAAACACATCCTCTTTCCCACTTCAACTAAACTTCTTTTCTTTTTTCTGTGTTTTCTACCGACCATGATAAGCAAATAATAAATATACATTGAACTCTTCCCTTGCCAGGAGTCAGGGTAAGCACTGAGGAACAAGGTCAACCAGACAGGCATAATATCAGTCTTCACTGAATTTACACTCCAGTGAAGGAAGTAGCTAAAAATGAAAAAGCAAATAAAATAATTGCAAAAATTATTAAGTGTCTTGAAAGACATAAAGGAACTACTTTCAGACAATTCATTTGTAATACAATTGGTAAAATCATGGCAGGTCAGGGCAAGCCTCTGGGTAGATTAAAAGATAAGCTAAGTTGGAGAAAGGTGAAGGGAGTTATTTTTGCATAAACATACAGTTTGCATAATTTTAATCCTGTGTAGCTTCAACTTTACTAGATTTTTTTAAAATGAGCCTTGCTAACTTTAGATTTGAAGTTAAGCTGTAAAATATATATAACTGAACCTTATATACCTGAGTCCCTCTACTGCTGATTTTGGGAAGAAAAAAATAAACTTCCATATCTTCAGATTTCTCAGGAATCAGGCACCCCAGACCCATAGCCTTTACTTGGGAGACTTCAAGAACGAAGCAGATGCATGTAAAACGAGCTGGCAGATTAAAGACAACAAAAGAGGATGAAATATAGTTTCTCAGGGCGCCAATTTTTTCATAAGGTGCAAATGACTTCAAAGTATAAAACAGGCTAGTATTTCAAAGGGTCGGGCTGCAGAAGGGGTAGCACTGATGAAGTCCCCAGTTTCACTGTCTGGGGTTCACTCTTGATTGATTTATCCATTCGTATTTCGGGCTGGGAAGTCTTTTGTTTATACAAAAGCCTTTCTTTTTTTTTTTTGACAGAGTTTCACTCTTGTTACCCAGGCTGGAGTGCAATGGCGCGGTCTCAGCTCACCGCATCCTCCGCCTCCCGGGTTCAGGCAATTCCCCTGCCTCAGCCTCCTGAGTAGCTGGGATTACAGGCACGTGCCACCATGCCCAGCTAATATTTTGTATTTTTAGTAGAGACGGGGTTTCACCATGTTGACCAGGATGGTCTCGATCTCTTGACCTCGTGATCCACCCGCCTCGGCCTCCCAAAGTGCTGGGATTACAGGCGTGAGCCACCGCGCCCGGTCCAAAAGCCTTTCAACTCCCGAGGCCAGGGCCTGCCCTGCTGCCTGCGGGCCCCGCACTGTGTCATCCGTGGCAGGGGCTCAGCAAACACCTGCTGGGCCTGTGCCTCCAGCTGCACCCGAACTGAGTCTCCTCTCCCGCCGCGCTGCCCGCTCCGCTCCCCGCACCACCTAGCGCCGGCTCGCCGCGGTGGACTCAGAGACCCTCCTCCCGCCACATCCACCCGCAGCCAGCCTACCCACCTGGAGACCCCAGCCTCGCGTCGCCGCCGCCGGCCGGCCGCGGAGAGCTGCCGGGAGTTTCCGCCTTGGTCTCCTTGGTTACCGCGTTACCTCGGTTCCCATAGCAACCAGAAAGCGGGGTTCTGCCACTGTCCGCCGGCAGAGGGCGCCAGGGAGCCTGCGAAATGAGAGAGGAAGGGGTGCTCCAGGACGGAAAGGGCAGAGCAGCTCAGGCTCTGGAAGCTTTCTGCCAGAGGGGGTCTTGGAGATTAGTTATGTGCTAACCCTGAGCACGTGTCATATTCCAAGCACGACTGAGAGACTTATAGTTAATATTTGATTCTTCCTCATAGCAAGCCAGCTTAAATCTAAGAAAATTAAGGAACAGAAAAATGGACTATCTTAATCCAAAATTACAAGCTTGCAAATGGCAGACCCAAAAACTAGTTCAAGGAGTTCAGTCTCAGAACTCCCACATATACGCTATGTTTAAATGATTTATCAAAGGCAACCATAGCCAAAGTCAATAGAGAATCTAGGTCTCTTCAAAAATCTGGAACTCTCTCTCTTTTTTTTTTTTTTTTTGTATGGAATACATGACCTGTGAAGTCTAATATATATAAAACAAAAAGCAAAAGCAAGTGTATGCACGCATGCATGCACACACACACACACACACACACACACACAATTAACCCACACTTCTCAACTCTTCTGTTCCGAACAAAGCTACACCTGTAATGAATTTATCTTTGGCTTCCTAAACATGCTGGTTTTTTTTTTTTTATCTCCCTTTTTATATACTCCAAGTAGGATGTGTGGTTGGTACTGCACTGTACAGGCTTCTATGCTTAACCGTATTGTATCTATCTCAGTACCAGACTAACAATCCTAACCATTACAGTTAATATACTAATTTTTGCACCATTACTTTAACAGTGCTATGCCTGCCAATACCCATTTTAAAAATTAATAATTTCACTTAGCAGATTCAATTATATAAGATTATAACCACTATGGATAAGAGAAGACAATGGCAGTCTTCTGGTTGTGAGTCCTGGATTTTGGAGTCAGGCAGACTCGAGTTTGAGTTCCAGTACTGCCATAACTTACCTGCTCTGTGACCGTGAGCAAGTGGCAAAGCCGTGTCCAACTGCTTAAATGAGGTAACAGTACACTTAGTCCATATGTGGCATAGTATGGAAGAGTAAATGAAACAATAAATATTAAGTATATAGCTCTAAGCCAGGCCCACAGTAAGTGCTTAATAAACAGCAAGGATTGGTGGCAGTGGTGTGGCTATGATGGTTGCTGTTATAGTGTTCATGGTATAACTTTACCAAGTCCTTCCTTTAACTCTAACACAAGGACAAGTTTCAAGTGGATGTGCACTAGTTCTGATTTTCTTGTGCAGACTAGTTCCCATATAGAGGTGTGCTCTTCAAGTTATCAAAGATACATTCAGCTTTCTTCCATTCACTGATCTATTCATTTATTTATTCCACAAGTATTTATTGAAAGTCTATTTCCTAAATCCCAAAAATACTGCAGTAAAGAAATCAAAGTCCCTCTTGTTTTCAAATTTATTTTAACAGGAGCCGAAAGGCAATAAACAAGTATAAATACATGTCAGCTGCTATGAAGAAAACTAAAACCAAATAAAGAAATAGAAAATAAATGACTTCTATTTTAAGTTAGAAGTATCTGAATGCAAGGAAAGAGAAAGACACGGGCAATTAGAGCAAGGAATATTCCAGAGAGAACAGTAAACACATGTCAATTATGTCCCAATAAAGAGAAGTATTTTGCAAAAAACCTCTCATCACTTCAGCAAAGGACTTTTACTTCAAAACAGAATTCTTACAATGCATTGACTTGCACAATAGTAAAATTAAACTCATAAAAATGAGTTTAATTTTTCTGACACTTTTTGAAAGCATTAAAAGGACATTGTCTTAGAAAAATCGCTTATGCACAGTTATGAAAAGGCAAAGCAGAGACAAAAATAAGCCTATGTCAAGTCACACAGTAAAACAAAAATTATGAAGTGCTTGTCTTTCAGAACAATGATTAGTGGCAAAATGAAATGAAACATGTCAAAACAATTACAGCTCTAGAGAGATGATATTCTCGCCACTGAAGCAAGCTGTATTTAACCGGCACACCTGCAATTCTGCACACAGTTTACCATAACTATACCAAGAGCACAGTATTCCTGAGGGTTTTTCCAAACTCAAGCTTCATTGTGCCATTGCAAAGACAGGATTTGAATACAAGTTTTCTGAACTGGAGATCTGCAATTTAAAGAGATAAAAATTACCTACAATGCAGAAATTAAGAGCACAAATTTACATGACTCATTTTACTAAGCTTGAAATCAGGGTCAGAGACTGTAAACAAATATTATCCAAAACTTAGAAATAAGGCAAAGCCAAAACAGCATGTCTTTTCAATGCCATACTAGAATACTGTTGAAGATAAACTGAAGATTACACGATTTTCTAAAAAAGTGTTGCTTTGCTTATCATTAACTATTATAAAGTCTCTGTGTAATGTTACATGTTTATTTGAAGATTTTTCACTTGAATCTTTCATATCATTTGTATCTAGATATGTAAATAACATCTGTCCTTTAAATAATTTCAAAGCTAATGGTTCTATTGCACTATACAACTTTAACCAGTTTTGTATCTAACCTAGAAATCTCACACTAATACTTTCTCTCAATGCCTGTGTACAGTCTATCAAATTTTCTTTGAACCAGCTTTACCATTCTAATAATTCCTTACTTAATGAATTAAACTGTCACATGTACATTCTCTATTTAATAGAATATCTTGTTTTTAAGCATTGCAATTATATTTTGATAATACCAAACCTTTGGAAGAAAATAGGATATATAGCATATCTACAGCTTTCCAAAAGTATTCTCTCCATTTCTATTCACTCCTTTGCCCTACAAATTCTTTTATAGGCCAAAGTTTGTGGGCATCTCAGGTTAGCAAAACAAAATTCTTACCATCTCCTTTTTCACGAGTCCTGAAATGTGGTCTTACTTTTACATGAAGCATCTACTTTCTTTATGCCTTGGTAGATGCTAAATATAACATCCTATTACATATGTATGGGGTTTTTCAACTTGTCAAGAAAAACTGAGCTTTAGAGGCAACATAAAATTACAAAAAGGCTTTTGCGAAAACCTAAATTAGTATGATATAAATATATTTAAATGTATCCAAATGGCTAAACTTAAAGAAAAAAAAAAGAAAGAGTTAAAAGGTGACATTGCCCTTTTATAATTTTTCTCTGCTTTGTAATTTCTGCCTATCATCCATGACACAGAATTTCTCAGCAAATAAATTTTCATAACACAAGGCAATTATTACTGATGTTTCACAAGTGGAGGAGAGTCATCAGGGCATATGATAAATTTTCAATTCCTGCAATGTGCAGTGTCTTCCAAATTGAAAAATAAATGTATTTAATCAACATTTATTCAACACCTGTTCCATTCCAGGCATGGCCGTAAGGTATGTACGGTGAACATAGGTGAACATAAGGTGAACAAAGACACCACCTCTGTCCTTGAGTAATTCAAGTGACAGTTTACAAATAATTAATATGTAACATATTAAGTACTATGTGTAAAAGGAATGGGAGCATTACATGTTTGTGGCATGGCCAAAATTTCTGGCTGGTTCCAACACAATATATGTGGCAAAGAGATAAGAATGAAAAGTTGTGCTAGGAGTGCATTAAAAAGCAATTCAAATGGTACCCTATTTATAATGAAAACTGTGAATTTTTTTTTCTTCTCTCCTTCTCTTGATACAGATAATTTTTGAAGCCAATTTTTAAGCTTTAAAAATTGGCTTTAGTATGTATATAGTATGTATATAGTAGCATCTTTCAAGGGTAATTCTGGTGGCAGTGTAAAAATAGAGCAAATAAAGAAGAGGAAGGCAAGAGACAGGTTTAAAATGTGGTTATATTAGTCCAAGATAGAAATTAGAAATAATAAGTCTTGAGTAAATCAACGCAGAGGGCATAGGCCAAGTGAAACAGATTCAAAGGATTTTGTAAACTCCCAATAGGGCTTGGAGACCGAGGATATGTGGTTAGTCAGGAATTTGGAACAGAGCTGCTGATCCCTGCATTTGATAGCTTTTTTAACTAAGTAGATGATACTGATAACCAATGCTGGAACAATAAGAGAATAAATAAGCTCACAGAGAGTAAGGTCAAGGAGGCAGGGCAGACTGAGTTTTTGTGATACCAGTAGGGAGGAATACAAAAAATATAGCAACAGAGCTCTAGTTATTTAGGAGATAACCATATATATTATGTTACCATCAGCATATAATCAGATAGTAGCCAGAGCTAAAGGAAATGTTTAAATTGTCCAACGAGTCCTCAGAGAAACTACAGAAGATGGTATTGAAAGAGGCATTCATTCAGCATTTCTAAAATAGGCCAATATAAAACCCATACATGCCTTCTTTATCCAGCAGTGTTCACTGCCAGGTCTTCACAAATGAGGCTGGTAACCTGAATGAATGCATTACTGTAATCATCAATTCTTTGTGTCCGTCATGCAGTTACTGCAGACAAGCATCACTACATCAACTGATAAAAAAACAAAGAACTGGCAGTAGTCATTGAAGGTCGTATTCCCAATATCAACATTCCTATTACAAAACTTTTTAAATCGTTTATGTATGTATGGGTCCAGAGAAGGTGAAGATATAATTCACATGATGGAGTCTTTAGAAAGCCAGTTTCAAAAAAAAAAAAAAAAAAAAAAAAAAAAACAACAGTTTATTTGAACATAAATAACATTGTTTTCACTATAACTTTAAGTTGATACAATCATATGTCTCTTAATGATGGGGATATGTTTTAAGAAATGCGTGATTAGGTGATTTCATCATCATGCAAACATCAAAGAGTGAACTGACACAAGCTAGATGTTACACACCTAGGCTATTCACTATAGCCTATTGCTTCTACACTATAAGCCCCTACAGCATGCCACTGTATTGAACACACAATTATAACACATTGGTCAGTATTTGTGTATTTAAAC